AAGAAGGAACCCTAGCATTGACCCTGAAGATAAAGTTGAAATGAGGTTATAGCATACTCATAGAGTACTTACTAACTTTCAAAATGAACAGCGAACATGGATTTTAATTGAGTGAGTTGTCAAATACTGGGCAACTTTATTTTCTTTCTGTGTCACTTCCAAGTTGGCAACAAGGAACAGTATTTAAATGGAAACCATTTTTGAGTCGATCTGACAAATTAGGGGGATTCTCCATCCTCTTTCCAGTTGTCGGCACGTCACCTCTGTAGGGAGACATTCTTTTTAATACTCTGTCAGGGTTTTCCTCTTCTCCGGATTGTCCTCATTGCACTTACTAAAACATGAGATTACATGTTTTTGCACTTGCTGGTTTTTCTCAGTGAAATGTAAGCCTTAGGGAGGCAGCATCCTTGTTTCTCTTGTTCACTGCCGTGTCTCCAGAGAATGGCATTGTGCCCCGCGCACTGTAGGCATTCAACGAATATTTTTGTGCAGTAAATGGCCCCACAGTTACTACTAAACACTTATTTCCATTCCATAGTCTACTGGGGAAATGAGAGCTGGGCTACTTTTCTCTGTGCCACTAAGTAACAGGCTCTTAAATAGTCAGAAAGAGGAAGGACAAAGCTCAGCCCTGTTACGAGATGCAAAAGCGATAACACTCCCTAAGACATTGATCATCATTCAAGATTAAATTTGAATTCAAGTTAAATTGAGTCTGAACCAATCCTATTAAGTCATACTTAAAGTATATGCATCTTTGAAACTGGAAAATATAGCCAACATTGTTTTTCAATTATGTCTATTTAATCTTCCCTCTACCTAGAGCATTCAAGCCATTAAAACTTAACTTGGTATCTCTCTGGTTTACATGAATTCTTAGTTTTCAAAAAATACCCAGACTATGTTCAATTCCATTCAATACACATAGTAAATTTTAAGTACTATGTTAAAAACGTAGACAGCAAGCCCTGTCTGGCATAGCTCAGTGGATTGAGTGCGGGCTGGGAACCAAAGTGTCCCAGGTTCAATTCCCAGCCAGGGTACATTCCTGGGTTGCAGGCCATAACCCCCAGCAACCGCACATTGATATCTCTCTCTCTCTCTCTCTCTCTCTCTCTCTCTCTCTCTCCCACTCCCTCCCTAAAAATAAAGAAATAAAATGTTTTAAAAAAAAGAATACTGAAAAAAAAAACGTAGACAGCAAAGAGCATAAGAAAACTATCAATATTAAGATCAGCAAACAGGCCCCGGCTGGTGTGGCTCAATGCGCTGCGTGTGTTCCTGCAAACTGAAAGATCATGGGTAAGGCTTCCGGTGAAAGCACACGCCGGGTTGCGGGTTGGGTCCTGGTCCAGGCGCGTGCGAGAGCCAACGGACCCACATTTCTCTCCCACGTCCGTGTTTCTCTCCCTCCCTTCCCCGCTCTCTAAAGTAAATGTTAAGACAAGAAAAAAATAATTTTGAAAAAGATCAGCCAACAATGGCAGATTCTTTCACACATGACCCCCCTTCATTTTCACCCTCCTTGGATGTACTGTGATTCCAGTTTAATGGGTGAGAAGAGCGGAGTTTGGAGCCAGCGAGTGACAGAGTCACACAGCGGGGCCTGAGATGTCTTCCGACTGAGACCGGGGACCCTTCCTTTGTCGCATTAGCTCTTGTAGAGTCACTTCGCAGCGCACCCTAACCGTAACAGGCCACGCTATTAAAAAAAAAAGTTAATAATTTACTCTAGGTACAATATAAATTATTTGATCCTCTTTCAAAACCATGAGGCCAAACATAGGGACATACTTTCATTTAAGTATGAATGATGTGGCTAAAATTAATCTTGAATGGTAGTCAATGTCCTCAGAAGTGTTTCTGAAATTTTAAGATACAAAGGGGACATCTATCTATCTGCAGACTCGAAGACCTTAGCTGTACACATTGCGTTTCTTTACAAAGAGCTATTACTACATTATATTCCTCTTCCTCTCGCACACCCTTCTTCCAGCAGACACCTGTCTGTCATTACTGTCACCACCACCCACGCTGCACAGTCTGGCACTTAACCCGCGCCCTCTGGAGAGGACCACGGTCTCAGTGCGTACACAGAGGTTGTGCAAAAATTACACTGTTTCAAATCCAAAGTGCAGAAACTTGTGATATGGACAAGAAACCATCAAACACCACTTCTTTTTCCCCCTACAGACCACACCGGACATAGTCTATCTTGTTCTTTGATCGCTAACTTCACCAAAGAGGAAGTCCAGAGAGTGAGTGGGACTGCTAATGGTAAGAGCAGCACTTTACAAGAAAAAGGAAAGGAAACTTCCTTTTTGCACGTAGCCATTGAACAGTGGGAGAGCTGGGGCTGCCTCTCCTGCTGGAACCTACAAGTGCTTGGGTGAAGACTGATTCAGGACCCAAACAAACCTCTTCAAGTACCTTAGGCTCAACCCCACTGTCCCTTTTCCTGGATTCTGATGTCGTGCCCTAGCGCCCCTGCTCAGCTACATCATCCCAGGGCCTCACTCCTGGTTCTAACTCCAGACCTGGGCTGGGGGGTGAGCGGGGAGGAAGAAAAGGAAAATGAAAAGAAGAAGAAAAAGGGACGTACTCACACCCCCTCTCCTGTCGTAGGCTGGCGCCTGCTACATTCTCACGAACTCGCATTTTCATTTCCCCTTCTCAGCGTGCAGGGACTATTTCCTCGCAGGCCCACAGGCGCTCTGCACCTTCTCTTCCCACACACGCCCTCAGAGCATCCTCCGTCCCCGGACCCACGTCGCTGCCCCTTGCAGACTCCCGGCCCCTGCAGGAGCGAGCCCTCCTCTCTCAGATCTACATCTTTTCCTGTCTTCCTGGGAGCCTTTGCTTCCCAGACTCGCGCCCCCCGCGGGTGCTTCCCGTGTCACACCGATGGCAGCCTCAGACCGTCGCACCTCCCACCCGGACCTGCCCCCTCCCACGCCCCTCACCTGGGCGCGCCTCCTTTCTCTGGCCCATCACCTGGCTCTTCCCTCTCTGACCTACACCCCTCGCCTGGATGCACCTCCCCTCTCTGACCCACGCCCCTCATCTGGTTGCACCTCCTCTCTCTGACCCACGCCCCTCACCTGGATCTCTCTTCGCTTTCTGACCCACACCCCTCACCTGGATGCGCCTCGCCAAGCTCAGCCGCGTCTGCTGCACGAAGGGGTTGGGCACCGGCGGAGGGAAGAAGGACGCCTGGCGGGGCACCATCTGTGGCCGCGGCCCCGCGATCCTGACGCCCGCGCCGGGCACCGTGGCCGCCACGGCCGCCGCCTCGGCGCACCGGTTCATGGCGGAGCCGGGCCTCGCACCGACAGAAGCTGCTCGCGCAGAACACAGAACACGAGCCAGTCGAAGTCAAGGTTGAGTCCCAGCCGCACAGGAGCGCGAGCGCGGCTGAGGCTCTGCGCAGGCGCTGAAGTGACTGGACACCCTCGGGTTTCACCCCGCCCCTCCGGTTCTGATCGCCCCGCCCCTCTGGTTCAGGACACGCCTAGGCACTGGCCCCACCCCCTGAGCGTTAGCCCCACCCTCTTAGGTGTCTGGCTGTTCCCTTGGGTGATAGCGCTCTGCCCCCTTGGAAGTGAATGCTTCTCCTTAGGACCAAAGCCCGCCAGGGGCGGTTTTGGCAGAGTTCTCTGCTTCAGGGTCAGGCAGACCTGAACTTCCAATCGGTTCTACTGACTCGGTGATGTTGTCCAAATCACCATCTCCATGACCCTGCAGCCTCCTTCCGTGGAAGGAGAACCAACAGCGTTTAGATCAACAGAACCTGCATCCAGCTGTTGGAGGGGACACCCTGGGGCTGTACCGTTAAGTGAGTTAACATACCCGAGCTGGGCTTTATTTCTGGTGTACATTTTGCTTTTGTTTAAACCTGTCTGGGTCGGATGTTTATCAGTTAGAACTCAAGAGTCTTGGCTGAGAGAGAACTTGATACCAGGAGTGGCATCTGTTCCACTGAAAACATGACTGGCAGTGGGGAATACTGAGCTACTATTATAAGGAGGTAAAAACTATTGCCCTCCGCACCAGGTGAGAAACCTGGTCCCTCAAAGGGAAATGACTTAGCCTGTGACCCCATGCCACCCTGAGAGAGGAAGTTCAAGGCCCTGACTGAACCTAAACGGGGGAGGGAGGGCAGGGCTTGCCCAGAACGTGAGGCCCGCTGGTCGGGGCCCCCAGGTGGCTGGGAGTCAGAGGGAGGCGGTGGATCACTGGTCCTCGCGGATCCACGGCTCACAGCAGACTGGAGGTGAGGGGAGCCTGAACCTGGACTCGGGCACGGCGGCTCCTGCACACTTACCCACCAGAGACCTCAGAGTCTTCCCACCCTCCCAGGCTGGTCATGTGGTCTTCAGCTGCTCACTGAACCTCTCTGAGCTCGTATTCTCATCTAGGAATGGTCAAAGATCAATCTCTACCCCATGGGGTCATAGTAACCATTAAATAAAAGAATGCATCGTGTCATGTTCAAGAAATGGCACGTTTCAGGCATTGCTGTGCAGCAGCTGAACTTTCTGTGGAACAGAGAACCTTCATAACAACGCATTACAGCCACAATACAAGCTTCCCCAGCCTCAGGGGTCTCCATGTAGGGGCCGGCAGACCCTCGTGGCTCTCTAGCCTGACGCCTGCACAGAAGGCTGTCTCTTCAGGCCCCTCCAGGATCTGAGCCACTGGGGAGGCCACAGAAGGGGAGATGATGACCCCACACCCACCGATGTCACCTCTGGAGTCCTGTCCGTTCCTCACCCCCTTCCCCACCAGCCCCACCGTGAGAGGTCTAAAATAATAAACTATCAGAGCCAGAAGGGGTGTCTGAAACATTCAGGCCTGAAGTTACTCTTTTGGATCAGCTCAAGAATTTCTACAGAGGAGGAGATTAGGGTGGGCGCTCTGGGGGAGAGGGAGGAGTAAGCAGCTTACCCTTTAAGAAAGGCTGTGCTTGAAAAGCAAGCCTACATCCGCACCCCCACCCCGCAGCTATGTTTTTACTTAGCGTAGCTTTTGGGGAATGGGGAAGGTGATGCTGAAGAAGATTCTGGGCTGAGTACCAACGCTCCTCCTCTGGCTCATCTTTGGCCTCGACTTGGGTCTTCACGTCGTAGCTATGGTACCCTGGGCAAACCCCTTTTCTCCGGGCCTGTTTCCTCATCAGTAAAAATCGGGCTGATTTTAGCCACCCCCTCTTTAGGTTGTTGTAAAGGTTCAACGAAACAATGCATGTACGGGGCCTGGCCCTCTGCTCACGGCGGGGGATGCTGTTCGTCAGCGTTAGAGCCGGGACTATTGTTAACGAAGAAACGGAGACTCCAGCAGGAAGAGGACCTTACTCAAGACCCTGGAATTGCAGTCACAGAATCACGCACTGCGGCTTGAGGGCTCTGTCCGCGGGACAGAGGGACTCCAGCTCACAGGACACACCCTTTGAGGATCTCTCCAGTGTCCCCCGTGCCCTTTGGGGAGCAGAGGCTTAGACTTTGTAAGTTCCCTCTTCCAGGCTCTGTACAAACAGAGGCAAACACTGCCACTCAGCTGGTGTCTTTATTCATACCTGTTGACATTTCCCATGGGGAACGGTTGAAGGGCAGGGAGGGGAGGGCTGAGCGAGAAGCCGCGGGCTGGTTTTCCTCCATCCAGTGGAGGCGGTGATGGGCTAAGCTTGAACTACATGGAGTGAACGGGGGGACCACAGTGAGGTGGGCTGAGATGCTTCGTGCAGTGACTTCAGGCGGCCTGAGTCCTTCTGTCAGGAGATGCGATTTGAAAGTGGAAAAACAAAAAAGGATGGAAAGAAAAGAACAAAGTGCGTACACAAAGCAAACCGCTGACGTGGGGAAGGTCCTAAGGCAGCCAGCAGTGTGAGAAGCTGGGTGTCCAGGCGGCCTCCTGGCCATGCCTTTCCCCGCTGCCCCAGGCCAGGCCAGGCTGTTGGGCCACCAGTGCCCTCTTGAGACAGTCTCTGTTGGCTCCGAGGGTGCCGTGCGACGGTTGTGGGGGGAGGAGAGCCTGAAGTGTGGCAGCACCAGGGCAGCCCGGGGCGGGGCCGCATTGAGGATATCAAAGCATCTCTTCGGGGCGGCTCAGGAAGGCTGGTGGGATCCGGAGGGGCGAGGGGCACCTGGGAGGAGTACAGTCAGCACCTTTCCGTGGGCACGGGGCACAGCCACTCTCTGGGATCTCAAGTCACCAGGTGGCGGGGAGAAGGCAGAGTAACCGCAGAGCTAGAGGTTGCTGGGCCCTCCTGGGCCCTTCCCCGGTGCCCAGGGCCCCACGTGCAGACGGGGGTGGAGACGCAGGGCCCGCGGGAGTGGCGGCCAGCTCAGCAACCCAGCCAGTCAGATTTGATGCTTCCGAACTTCACGTTCTTCAGACTTTGGTTCTCCAACTTCAAGTAATACATGCCCTTGAAGAAGTAGCTGTGGCCTGGGACGGGAAAGGAGAGAGGCTGTGACTACCCTCGGACATTCTGGCACGTGGAAGGCTCCCAGTGCTTTGGAAGCCTGCAGCCACAGGGATGAAGCTTTTAAACCCGAGGGGACCCCTCTGGGGCTGGAGAAAGGGATGTGGCTGAGGAAGTGAGGTCCCTGAGCCCCTGCCGTCTTCATCTTGAAGACGGGGATAAAGATACCAGCCTCTTAGGGCTTGCGGTGAGGATGAAGTTAGACAAAATGCGACTGTTAATATAAATAACAGTACTCCGCTGAGCACAGTCCCCGCACTGAGTGCTTTTGCTTTCTGTGTACCGGAGGCAACAAACCAGGCGGCTGCTCATCCTCTCGGCCCCCAGATGGGGGTTTTGTGGCTCAGTGTGGCTCACATATGTTTTTTTGTTCTGTTTGATTTTGAATTGTGAGTAAGTATGGCCATACCACCCTGAATGCGCCCAATCTTGTATCAGTAAGTTGCCACTGTGTAAACATCTGGACATTTCACAAGGAAATACAGAATTTTTTTTTCTTCCTCTTAAAAGAGAATATCCAGCAACACCGGACCTGGCTCATGCAGGGCTGCAATCCTCAGAAGCAGAAAAGCAACTGTCCCCGGTAAGTAAGCCACGAACTCTCTGGTTTGCCACAGACCCCAACACTCCCTACTGTGTGCCTAACCTACTTCACTCATTTGTGCTACTGGCCCGGCCCCTCTGGGCTCTGGAACTTGGGACTCCTGACATACATAATAATCTCATTTACTTCCTCTGAAACTCTGGCACGTAGTAGGTGCTCACTAGTTGCTTATTCCTGAAGATAATCCTTCACCTAGCACCTGATGGTACAGTGCATTTTGTTGGACACGTTAAGACCACGAGCCACTCACTGGAGGTCAGAGCCATGTGCATAGCCAGCATATGACAGGGGCTCAAAAAATAAAACAAATCTTTGTGGAATTAAATTAAAATTGCCTCTAAAAAGCCAAACTGGACCTCTTCCAGGGCCTGGAGAGCTCACAGAAGTCTCTTGAGGAATATGGTTTTCAAACTCCAAATTCTACCCTTTGATGATACTGGTTGTATAATTCAGCAAGGGATCAGGGGCAAAGCGAGCTGAATGGGGATCTCTGCCACATCAGCAAGAGGGCATGACAAAGTCCGTCCTGCCTCAAGTGGAGCCATCCTTCTGCTAAGGGCAGGCGGTGACAAGGCGTCCTGTGGAACCCGAGAGGGCCTGGATCAAGCCCCAGAATGAATCCAGGGCACAGAGCCCATGTTCCTGCTCCCCGCCCCGCAGGCCCCTGCCCTCCCCTTCCCTGGCTCCGGGCCCTGCAGCTGCGAGGGGCCTTTCTGGGTCCCACCGCCTGAAGCCTGCTGAGCGAGCAGAGGTCAGGGGGCTGGATGCCTTCCCAGCGCTGGGCTGAAGGGGCTGGTTTGTTTCCCCAGGCACCACAGGCCTCCCTGCACAATGAGGGAGTGTGTGCTTGTAGCGCCCGGGTGCGGGGTGGGGGCAGGGAGTCCTAGAAAGCGGCCAGAGGCCCAGGCGGCTCACCGTCACCCTGCAGGTCCACCACGGCGTCCAGGTTATCGGGGACCGCGTTCCAGGCGTCCTCGATGAGCTTGGGGAAGCCGGGGTCCATTTTCTTCTTCACCTCATTGTATCTGCAAGGAAGTGCACGTGGTGAACCCGTGGGGCCTCCCTAAAGGAAGGCCACCCCTCCAGGGGGGCCCTGGATGGCAGGGCCCCGCTGGGGGCTCCGGGGTGGGCCTGGGAAATGGGACCCAGCCCTGCAGGGAAGCCGCCTGCCGGAAAGGAAGCACACGTTGTCAGGTCCGGGTCTGCCTCCCAACTGCACCGCCCACTAATTACGTGCCCTGCACAGTCTTGTAAACACAAGCTTGGGATGACCGTTAACACTGAAGGGGTGCATTCAACGCTTTTCATTTACTTTCTCGGCCACCCCACGTGACAACCCTGTGGCACGATTATTACCGTAAGACCTACGTCACAGACCAAGGGCTTCACAAGGGCCTGCGGCTTCTCAGTGGTGGTCCAACCCACGCCTCCCTGGCCCCAGGGCTGCAAGTGACTGTCTGAGCCGCCCTTTCACCAGCTGGAAGATGGGGTTCTATTGAATTTAATGTAGCAATGAACACATGGACAAAGTAAAACAACACACGCAAAAGGATCTGGTACTTGGCGGAGTGTTTGGGAACTAGTAATTCCAGTGCAAACCTCATTCAGTTCCTGCTGCCATGTGCCGAGAGCTGGGCCAGGCGTCCAGGGACGGGCCCCGCCCCGCCCCGCCCTTCTAGCTCTGGGTGGCCTGGCCAAATGGCTGCTTTGGCATCTGTCCAGTGGAGATGACAGTGCCTGTCCTGGAAGGTGATCTTGGCCAGGACGGCAGGTTAGAATGCAAAGTAGTACGTGAGTCCAAGGCCTGTCCAGCCACAGGGCAGACCTCCTGTGACCTCAGCTGTCCTGGCTGCATGGTCACCCTGGGCCCCGCCTCTGATCCGGGTCAATCCCTCGAGTATTTAGTTGGTATATTCTTCTTCCCAGCTAACACTACCTCTGTCTTTTTCATTTTTGGAGAACTTTTTAAATGCTGGGGTCATTTCGATTCCTTCCCTTCTGTAAATATTTCATGAGCTCCCACTGTGTGCCTGTGGATGGCGCAGTAAATCAGACAGCATCTTGCGTGTGTGGCGCTAATTTTCTAGGCAGACCCATGTTTGAGTGCCACCCGGTGACAGCCAAGCATTCCTCCACCGGGCCTCCTTGCCGCCTCTTCCTCCCCACGGCCAGCTGGACCCCCTCCACCCCAGATGCCAGCCACAGCTTCCCCTCGGAGCTCCCTTTTAGGGGCTCTGCACCCCGAGGACTGCCAGCAAAGCCTCCTTTCATCCCAGTGCCATCATTAAGACATCTGGCAAAACCTAACACGCTCCCTCGTGAGCTGGGGTACCAACACCAAGTGTCCCAGCTCAAACCCCCCCAGCATTCCCCCTGCATCACCGCCACTGACCCCTTGACCTGCAGCGTCTACAGTGACGAGGGCTTAGAGCCAGGTTGCCTCTTCCTCGCCCTCCTGTCCCTCCCCTTCTAGCCACAGAAGTTAGGGTGGGCAGGAGTCAAGCCCATTTTACAGATGAGGAAACTGAGGCTCAGAGAACTGCACTGGTCTGCTCCCACGCTCTCTTCCTCTGGGAGGAGCACGGCGTCGTGGCACCAGAAGATGCTCTGAGGGGGCTCATCTCTCTTCCCTTTCCTCTCCGTCCCAGAGTGTCCCCGCAGTGTCCCCGCTCACGGGCACAGTGCTCTGAAAGGTTTCTCTGCCACACTCTGTACTTGCCCTCTGCCGCTGGCGTCAGGAACACAGACATCTGTGTCCCGGCCTCTCCACGGCGCAGCCTTCGGGCACAGCAGCCTCAGCCCCTGCGCCCGGGAGATGGGGCCAATACTAGCATCTACCTCCTGTGAGGAGTGTGGGGGAGATGTGCAGCCTCAGGCCCAGCACGGGGTGCAGGGCCCACCACGAGAACCATCATCGTCTCGTTCAGATGTGTTTATGCCTCTTCTGCAAGCGCCACAAGGCGGGAGGGACTATTTCCTGAGCACTGGCTTTCAGCACCTAGCTCAGTGCCTGGCACGCTGGAGATACCGGACAGATGTGTGAGGGCTTAGCAGAAGCTTCCAGAAGCAGGGGCTGAGCACTCCCTGGCACGAAGGAGGGAGTGCCCAGGCTGGAGGCAGTGACGTGTCCCCTGTCCCTCTAGGTCTCTCCCCCCTTCTCCAGCCAGGGGGTCTCGGGCCCCCTGCAGATGCTGCACCAACCAGGACCAGTATCTCCAGCTCATTCACCGCCTCTCCTGAGAGACAGATCTGTCCCTTCTGGAAACCCTGCCCGGGGCCTCTGACAGGCCGCCTGAGCTGTGGGTGTGCAGGCGTGCACGGGTGTGCGCACAGGTGTGCACACTCGTGTTCCCACATGGGCACGTCTATTCCTCTGTGTTTACATACAGAAAGTTGGAGAACGCTTAGAAAGTCCTTCCAACACCGTGACCCGAAGACACCGGGGTTCTGTGATTCTAAGGTTCGCGTCTGCGAATCCGCGCCTCTCACTGCCCGCATTCTGAGATCGGGAGATTCGGGGCACCACCCGCCTACCACACCAGGGCACCACTGGCCATGGGCGTGTGCGCCTGGGAGTGTTCTGGAGCCTGTGGGCAGAAGGCCCACTCTGTGGTTTCATGGCTGACTGTGTTCTTTCTTGAGGCTTGAGATACCAATCAGCTTAAGTTGCTAAGTATCTCAGCAATCCGTCTGGAATTCCACCCCGACACGGGGGCAGCCTGGGACAGAAGCAGCTTCTGGATGGCGGGCAGCTGGGGGCGGGGCTGGTGGGGAGAGAAAGTGGGAGGAACAAGGGCCTGGGGCAGGAGCGGGGCGGGCAGGACTGTTTCTGGGATGACAGACCAAGGGCCCTCCCCTCGGCTGAGGGTGACAGAGGCAGTGGCAGCCACGCAAGGGGCGTGAGTGGTTGGAGCCACCCAACCACCTGCACCAGCTGCCCCGCCCCACTGACCAGAGGGCCTGTGGGGTGCCATGGAGGGGCGCGGGGGGAGAGGACAGGAAAGGCGGTTACAGTCCTGGCTCTGCGACCAGCAGTGCACGTTGGGCCACAGTCTCCTTCTCTGGGGAGGTGGACAATGTTTAATCAAACGGAGGATGCTTCGCACTGACCATTCCTAGACATTGACCCTTGACCCTTAGCCCTGACCATGGCCTCTCAGCAGTGAATCCTTCCCTTGAGATAGCCTGCAGCCGAGCCCTGCCTGCTTCCCCGCTGGCCCCTGCCAGCCTGCACCCCCAGCCCCGGGGCCTGGTGCAGACACACCAGCGGGTGCCTCCTGCCTCCTCTGAGGTCTGATTCGAACGCAGGCTCCTGAGGGAAGCTGGCGCACCCCTCTGTCTTCATCCTATTCTGCCCTCTTCCACCCCTGCCTCCACCACCCCCATTTCTTGGCACCCTACTACATTTCAGGCCCAGTGCAGAGGAGTGGAGAATACCGAGTATGTCCTCTGGGAGCCAGAATGCCGGGGTCCGAATCCCAAACTGCCACTGCCTGACCGTGTGACTTCAAGCTACAGACTTTGAACCTGTGAACCCAGATGTCTCCCGTCTATAAAGTGGGAATAATACCGATCACACCGGTCTTGTGAAGTCCCTGGAAGAGTGCCCGGGATATAATGTCAGCAGGAGCAGCCATTGTCTTCGTGTAATTACCCCCTTCCTCGGTGAGTCACCCCAAATTGTGAAACTCCAGACCAGACAGACAGGGGCCGCATCAAGACTTCTGAGAAGGGGAAGGCGGTTCTGACCAGAATTGTATGAAGAACGTGCACAAGGACGGGTCACCTCCGATGACCTGTCCAAGGGGCTGCGGTCCTGGCCGGTTAGAGACCAGGGAGGGGGCATCCCTGGCCCCACAACCTCTGAACTTGACCCAGGAGGCCTGAAGCCACAGAGTGAGTGTCTTCTCCACGTCCATGCAGGCGGCTCTGCTGCCCCGCTTACCTCCAGAACTTGTTTCCAGCGAAGATGTAGGTCTTCTTGTTCTTGCTCCAGTTAAAGGCGGCGTCCACTCGCTCGATGTCGGGGGGCAGCCCCAGGCTGGTCAGCGGCTTGGGGTAGCCCGGCTCCAGGGTGCTGGCCGAGTAAACCCAGTACTCATTCCCTGGGGAGAAGCAAAGGGCGGGTCGGGGACCGGTGCTGAGATGCCCCGCCAGCCCCTCCCTCCCATCACCTGCCGGCCAGCGACCTGGCTGTTCTCAGCGGGGACACATTCCTTGCCCAGTTCTGGGTCCAAAGCCCAGATCAGGGCTCACGAGGCCAGTCTGATAGCTGGTTACAGAAGGTGCCTGGCCGAGGAGGTGCGTGGGGGGTGGGTCCAGCCCTCCCTCCCCTCACCAAGCCGTGTACTCCGAATGCCGCGCCCGCCACGAAGAGGCACCTCAGCCACAGCCCACGATCGCTCTGGGACAGGAGATGGGGTGCCATCTGGTAGATCACATACCCACCCGCAGTGTGGGCTGAGCCGTCGGTTCCTCCGAAAGCCGTCCCTGCGGCCCCAGCCCAGGCCAGCACAGGGGGACCCTGCCAGCCCTCCCTCCCCACCGCAGCGCTCACTGCCCGCCCCCTGTGGCAGCCTGGGTGTCTGTCTCCCCACTCGTCTGCGGGCTCTGCGAGGGCAGGTGCTCCAACCGCTGCGGGACAATGCTGGGGTCCCCCAGTGTTAGCCAGGAGACCCCGTCCTGATGATTTCTACCACCTCAAGAGGCTCCTTATACGATTATTTACTTGGTATTTTTGCTTTCAAGAAATTCACTGTGAAATCTTTAGAAAGACATGAATTTAAAAACTTAAAAACGAAAGCAGATCGTTCTTTTCATTCTAACTAAAGTCGTTGCCTGCGAAAGGCTCTAGCTGGTGTGAGAGACAGCAATCCTAACCTGCGATTTTCCTTCTAGAGAACGAACCAAAAGGACTGAAAAAGAATTAGAGCTAATGAGTGTTCCCGCTGTGGGCCAACGGTTTTTGATGCCGGCGTCTGAGCCAACCGCCCACAGGAACCCGCGCTGTTGGAAACGAGGGCCGGAAGGGCCCTAGAGCAGCGGGGACGCCCACAGGCGCCCGGGGAGCATCGGGCAGAGGGCCTGGCGGGGCCGTCCCTCCCACAGACCTGCGAAGAACACAGCCTTCTCCTCCTGCGGGGCCTCGTACACGGCGTCAATCTTTTCTGGAAGCTCAGGCCAGAATGTGGCCACCAGCAGGGGCCCCATGGGCTTGCTGCCTGGCGTCACCGTCCGCCAGATGAACCTGAGGGGGGAGAAGGGAGACCACACACCTTCAGTCACTGCGCAGCTGTGCCTCCCCCGCCAGCCCATGCAGAAACATCCGGCAGAGACACCTTGGTAGGGAAGCAAGGTCAAAGGAAGGTGGGAGAAGGCCTGGGGCATGGACAGAGTCCCCTCTGCCAGATGCTGGGGCTGAGAAGCAACCTCTCTGCTCCCCCTTCTTGCTCCCTCCTCCAGGAAGCCTTCCCTAACTACCTCTGTCCACATCATATTACCCCTCCTCTGAGCCTCTTAAAAATCAACACTGAGTACCTGAAACAGCAGTTTGATTTTTTTTTAAGTGTCTTACCTCTCCTACTAGATGAAAAGCCACCTGAGCCAGGGGCTGGTGGCACTCGAAAACATTTCCGGAGTTGGGATGGAGCTGTACGCTTCGGCAAGAGCCTGAGCTATCTTTACTGAGGGCCTACTAAGTGCCAGCACTCCAGGTGCCTTGTAAAATGGACTCCTCACAATATTACAAGACGCACTCTTGGCTGTACACCCAGCCTGTTGTCCATTCATCTCCCTATCGTCCTTCTGCACGGGACCCCCACATCCACGATCCCCCCCGACCCCCAGGTGGACCAACCCTGCTGTTCTGATGAGATTAAGCTGGAGGTTCTCAAAGTGGGATCCCCAGAGCACACCATCCAGGAACTCTCTAGACGCATGAATTATTGGTCCCCACCCAAGACCACTGGGTCAGACTTGCTGGGCTGGGGGTCCAACACTCTGTGTTTTCACAAGCCTTCCTGATGATTCGAACGCAGGCCCGAGTTTGAGAACCATTGGCTCTTTAGCCTGCCCTGGCATCTGTCCACAATTCAGCAGTTGTCATGTGACTTGTGTTAGCATAATGAGATTGAACAGCTAGACTTACATTTTATATGTGAAGATCTCTCTGTCTGTCTCTCTTTCTCTTTTTCTCTCTTGCTGGATGTGAAGCCTGCAGCCCCAACCGCCACTGGCAGCCACTTTGTAACCATGAGGAACCCAGCCTTCTGATGAAGTCGGCACAGAGGATGGCAGTGAACAAAGTTACCACAAAATCATTGACCCTCTCTGTGCCTGGAGGCAGCCTGACCCTGGACTTCGTACCACATTAGAGCAAATTCTCTCTAGTTTAAGCTGGTCCAGGAGGGTATCATGATCCTTATTCAGAAGATGAAGCTCAGAGACATTACCAGGATTCAAATCCCGACCTGGCTCCAAAGACTGAGCTGACTCATCCTGCAGCATTGCCTTTCTTGTCCCTGCCCCACCCCCCAGGGCCTAGCACCAATCAGTGCTTAGCTACTTAGCGCTGAATTCCCTGGGCCCATTAAACAAACATTCACCCAGGTCCTTTTGAAAGTGCAGTGTGTCAGGCTAGGGATGGTTCCACCTCAAGCCTGGGCTCTGACCCCTGACCTTGCCAGGGGGCCACACAGCTCACGTCAGCACATGTGGCCAGGGCTCCCCTTGCAGGAGGTCTCAAGGCTAGGACGCTGCTGGGGAGCTGAGCTCCCCGGGTTCACCTCCTCCCCATACCTGGAACAGGGGTCACGGGACAGCATGGACACTCGCTGCTGCCCACTGGCCTGGGCACTCGAGGCCTGATGGTGCCCACCTTGGCATCGCACTGTGCGTCTCAGCTCTCTCTGCCTGAGTGTCATCTCCCTGCTGGCCCCTGCCCCTCCCAGGACCGGGCCCCACACCCGGAGCAGAGGGACCCTTCACCAAAGAACATGGGGCGGCTCCCAGCCTCACCAGACTCCGTAGCAGCCAGGAACCTTCGCCGCTCTATGGCTGTGCCCCTGCAGCTCCCCTCGTCTCAGACACCCTCCCAACCCATCACCCCATCTCAGCCCGTCCACATCCGCCCCTCCTGAAAGGCCCCCTCACGTGCTGCCTCACTGCCAAAGCCTCCTGGACTCGAATGGGTCCACAGGGCATGTTGCTGATGCTTCTTTGGCCTCATGGCTTTCACTATGCCATGTATCACTGTCACTGCTCTCTGCCTGTGTCCCAGACCTGGCTGGTGACACTCAAACTTTACCATGCAGAATCATGAGGGGGATCTGCTCAAATCAGAGTCCCGGGGCGGCCCCTGGGCAGAGATGGCAGTCGGAGGGCCTGGGGTGGGGCATGGAGCAGAAACACTCACTCCCAACACTCACGGCCTAGGGGGCCCTGGACCGCTCTCTGAGAAAACTGATCTAGGCTTGAGGCAGACCCTCTGCCCTCAGCAAACCGTGCCCCATCCCCAGCTCCTAAAGCCTAGCCAAGTATTTGGTACCATTAACACCAAGTAATTATCTGTTGATAATAATAGCTAGCATATGACTGAACACAGTGTCAGGCATTGTTCTAAGCACTAAGCTCATCTAAGCCTTCCAAGAGCCCTACGCGACAGGTAGAAAAATTAGTCCCACTTTACAGATGGGGAAACTGAGGTACAAAGAAGGCACACAATTAATCTGCCTGTGACAAAGCAGCCAGTGAGTAATAGGTCCAGGACCCTAACCGCGGCGATCTGGCTCCACCACCTGCTCGGCCGACTACCTCGTACCACAGACAGGTGAGTGGACGGATGGATGGATGGAGGAGGATGACGCGTGGATAATGGGTAAGGATCAGAGACGGACAGATGATGGGTGGGTGGATGGCCGCACGCATGTCTGCATGAATGGATAACGGATGGGTCCTCTCATGCAGGCCTAGCACTGCCTGCCATTGCCCGGGAGGGCCAGGCAGCTGGATGTGCCTCGGGTTTCGGTCAGTTGAGGGGGGACCTCTCCAGCACAACCCCTCCCTTCTCTATCTGCCCTGAGGCGACTTGCTCCCTGTACACGGAACGGTTTGGCCATCTGAGGTCAAGGCCATTCCGGGAGACGGCCTGTGGCAGCCTGGAGTATTGTCTCCAATTCTTCCCTCCCTCCCTCTGTTGGAAACACAGAGCCACGTCTGCTGCCACGTGACGTCGAGGTACCACCCCCAAGAGCAGGTGTTGGGCGTGGCCACGTGATTTGCTTCCTCAATGGGATATTCTCAGACACGACTCTGGGGGAGGCTTTCTCTGTGCTCGTGCCATCCCATGGGGCCTCAGTGCTTCTGCCTCTGGCCACGGGCAGCCACGCACCCCAGGAGACAGCAGAGCACAGCGCCCCGCACGGCAGCAGACCCACGGGCTAGCAGAAAGCAAAGGAGAGGCCTGCGGTGGTCACGCCGCTAAGAACTGGAGGTGGTCAGACAAGCACCAGAACTGTCCACACAGGCCACTCTCCAAAGCGTCCAGCGGGGTCCCCGAGCAAGGGGCGGGGGTACAGGAACAACGGGGCGGGGGCCTAGGGACGAGGAGAATGAGCAGCACCCACTCACCGGTCCTTGAAGAAAAAGATCTCCCCTCGGATCTGAGCGACGCCATCGAAAACTATGTCTTGCACACAGATCTCGGGCGTGACGGGTCCCAGCGTGGGGGTGGGGCCGGTGCCCGTGTCGATGTCACCGTCAGGGGACGGCCCTGAGGGGGGGACACCTGACCTCAGACTCTCCCCAGCTCCTAGGGTGCCCCCACCAGGCTGAGGCCCCAGGGCTGCCCACCCATGCTGCTGAGGATCAGAAGACAGAGTACTCCGGCCTGAGTGTAAGCCCAGGTAGGAGAGGGACACGAGGCCCGGGCGGGGC